GGATTTCATCGGAATGAAATGTTCTTTGTCGACTGCTTGACTGCTCTTTTTACTGGATTCGAATAGTTTTTGACTGCAAAAGAAACGATATGTAATCAATCTTAAACTTTTTTTTACCGGCAGTCAAATTCTTTTTTACCCTCTTTGACACTTGATTCGAACCTGTTCGACTCTATCGACCTTGTTCGACTCATAATTTGACCATATTCGACCCTTTATTTGACTTTGTTTGTTTGACCGTTTAATTTGCGACGAAATTGTGACATTCGCTTAAATGTTTCGATCGAATCATGAAGTGAACACCTCAACCTGAGTAGCATTATTGTACAGTGCTAATTTAAATTATCCGGAAAAATGAGCAAAATTGAAACTTCAAACGTGTTTATTCAAATTGGTTTAAAGTTTGTAAAAAAAAGAGGACAAAAGTTGAAAGTTGTTTAGAACTTCACCAGATTTAAGGCTATATTTTTTCAGAATTCGCTACCAAAGTTTCATGTCAAAAATGAGCCATTTCAGCTTTTTTAGGTAATCAAGAACTACTAAGATAATTAATGAAAAAATTGTATCAAAAAAGCCTCCCTCACAGCCCAACAAAGTTTCCAAAAATTTGCGCAAATTGTTTGAAATTTGTTTTTAAGCAATGATTTTGACTTTTTATGTTTTGTTTGTCTGTCAACTGGAAATATATTCTCTTAGACAGATTTTTGGAAATTTAATTTTCTAGAACTTTGTTGAATTGTGTAAGAGACTTTTTATATACCTTTTTCATCAATTAACTTGGTAGTTTCCGCGTAATTCTTGAATACCTATAAAAAGCTAAAATTACCCATTTTTAAGATAAAGTGTTGGTTGTGAATTTCAAAACAAAATAGCATGATATTAATTCTGGTAAAAGTTTAAGCAATTTTTGTTCTCTTCATTTTTTGTTTAACCTGAACTCAAACGCGTTTGAATTTTCCAATGTTGTTTGTTGTGACCGGTTTATTTAAATCAGCACTGTACTAGCAAAGAAATAATTATGGGAAGACATAGAAATCAACAACCGGCAAAGCAGTGTTGCTGCCGGGATGATCGACAACGGTGACAGAAATTTTTTCAAGGACGAGCATCAAGTCGAGGCGGAGCGAACGAGCACAGGTTTTTTTTATTTAAAACTAGCAAGTGTTTACTAAGGTGCTCAGTGTTCAAAATCGAGTCCGAGCCGTCCGACTAATCCAGCGTTCTCGAGATGGACGAGCGGGTCTTAACTTCAAACCCACATGGCATTGAGTTGAATGGGTGAGACTGAATGAGTTGAATGGAAACTCCTCTGGAGTTAGTCGAATGGCTGAGAAATGGGGCAGCAACAAAGCACATCGGAGCATCACAACCGTCAATAACCCGAAAGGCGAAAGAGAAACTAACTCGGATATTACAACAACAAATTTTGATTAAGTTTTTTTTTCAGACGATCCGTGTCTTCTCCAAATTCTTAACAAAAAACATTCCAGAAAATTGCTAGTGGTCAAGAAAATATCGAATCAATCTATAAGTTAGATTCCGAGGAGGAAGCCACAGCGAGATTGCCACAATCGGCGAATACATACAAGGTACAGCCCCCACGTGTTTCTAAATACAATATGCAGCAATGGGACCACCATAGTTAACTAATAGAGGTCCCGCAACACAACCAGGGCAAGTAGAAACCAATCAGACCGTTTTTTTCTCTTACGGAAGCCTGTTTAGAAAAAGTGGGCATGTGCCGCCAAGATTCGGACAGCCATACAGTAGCGGATTTAGGGGGCGGGGGAGCGGACGCCTTCTCCCCCTCCCCCTCAGCGATTCGACCCCCTGCCGATTCAAAGGGTCCCCATTTGTACTATTTTAAGATATCCACTTTTGACCGACTGACCCTAAAATTTAAAGGCACCTTCGGCTGAGCCATTTGAGGATGTGACAGCGATACACTGAGGATTGCTGATGATTGACGCTGACCCTTAAACTATGTGGGCCGAGAAAACAAAGTGATGCATGCAATTGCGAAAAAAACTGCTCAGTTAAAACGCAAATATTTTTAAAATCCATGGACTGCTAGCGGGTCTAAGGTCTACGAAATGAATTGTTCGACCGTGAACGTTTTTTATTTCTCAGAAATACAATGTGAAGAATTGTGTGTAGAGTCGTCTTAAAGTCACATGGAAAGCGGTTGTCGTCTTAACAGCTATCGTCTCATTTACCTGAAACCGCAGTAAGGAAGTTCTAAATGGTCGAGAGTCTGGCTCCCATACTGTGACCTCTAAAACTGTAGATCTTATGTGAATGATGTTTTTATTTGGTTCTTATTTTAAAATTACCGATTGTTAAATTCGGAGTTCTTCAAAACGTGTTGATGGTACCAAATATGGGGCGTTTAATTACACTAAAATGGATCTACTGGCCATTTTCAGACCCTATCATTTGAACAGATTGAAGGTGAAATATCTGATTAATTTTGATTTTATGGCACCATCATCTTTCAAGTTCTCTTCAAAGCTGCCAATTAGAACGTCAGAAATGGTTCAAAAACAACAGACCCTACCAGTGAAAGCATTGCGTCACTTTGATTTAATGTCGGAAAATAAACATGTATTTTGCGTGTCGCGTAGGATCTTTTCAATGGCTATTCAGTTTTTGCCTGAAAATAGCTCCTATCTAATTATTTCCTCATAAGAACTAAATTATTTGATTTGAGGGAAGCTTTTTTGAACTCAAGTCAGATGTTTGGAGAAATTGTTCACGTGAAGGCGAAATTGTGTTCATGCAGTATCTACTAAGTATCCGAACAGCCTTGTTTTTTGAGATGTCAGAGAAGCGATTACATGCTCTGTCAATCTCAACGCAAACGCCTTACCGACCTGACTGCATAATGATGTCTTCTTCTATTTATATCCAGAACTTTTTACGCCTCGTAATTGATTGATATCAGCGTTCAAGGCCAGCAATTGTTAGATATGTGGGGTCTTATGCACTCAACGGCCCAAAATACGTATTTCTACATCTTGATCTTAGGTCAATATATGGTTCTATCTGTTTGGTTCATTAGCCAATCAAATGCAAACAACATGGTCCGGCATTTCAATTAAAAGTTAAAGCAGATAAAATCATTGGCCGAAATGACCAAACGATAAATTTTTCGCGTTGAAACCATTTTACTGAACTTTTTTTTGTTTGGGTATAATTTCACAAAAAAACATGAAATTAATTTTTTTATTTGATTAAGATTCAGATTCTCATTAAGTTCGGCTAAATTTTTTTCTGCTAGATCGGTTGATTGACATACCTGACCATGTTGCTTGAACTTGATTGCCTAATATTAGCCAATCAAATTCTGCCGCTTTAATTTTAGCTAAAAAATAAAGATTTTAATTTTGGGCCGTTTTGTGCAAATTCTAAGTAGCTCATTGCCATAAGTAACGCTCATCATGGGCTAAACACACCTAAATTTCTGAAACGCAACGTTTTACAGATGAAAATAGAGATTTGATGGGCTTGTAAAGTGTAAATTTTGGCCTGAAGTTCCTTCGGCGTGAAGTCTCGTAGGTTTGTTGTCATAGACCCCATGTGCTATTTAGTAGTAGGTTGTCTAGAAAGTTGTGTTATGATATAGTTGGGGCTAGGTCGTTTACCAAACCGACCTTTTACCAGAACACAATGCAATAATTCATTTAATATAAGTTCTCGTACCTAGTAAACGTTCTAATTCAAATCTGAGTCTCAGATCTGAAATGGGTTGTAAAATATTTAAATAACGCTTAGATACTTTAGGAATAGGTTATTTCAGATCTAAAATTTTCTATTTCAGATCCAAATTTCAGTTCTGAGTTTTTCAAACTTTTATCCAGATATGAAGTAGAAAATTTTAGATCTGAGAATCAACTAATGTAAGAAATAAAGAATATCAGACCTTGCACAGCAAATTGCCTGGGTACGGCTTTAAATTAGTAGAAAACTCGAAAATGAAGCGGTTAGAACAACCAAACTTTTGTTGAGAAACCGTGAAAGCCTTGTATTCAACCAAACTAAGCGGCGTCATTACATTTGCCCATCAAATTTGTTTATTAATTCTGGTAAATTGTCCATTTTACGGTTTTTTGGGTAAAAAATCGGTCTGGTAAAAGGTCGATCCACGATATAATTGTATTTGGTAGGTTTGAATACGTAATTTTATATCTGAAAAAAAAGAACAAAGTAAAAGAGAAAAAAACAGTTAAGAACAAAAAACCTGTTAAAAAAGTACCATTAGCTGGAGTAGACTAAAGAGACCAACTGCGTTTCACCAAATTTGGAACTGCAGTAAGATATCCTATCTTCAACACCTTGATTGACAAAACAGTATAATCGATACTTTTTGAAAAAAAAAACTGTCAACCTTAAGGTTTAGATTAAGAATAAGACTGTTTGTTCCAGACCAGCCACATTGCTCTTAGCGGAGAGCTGCTTTTCTATCCCTGATTAAAATAAAGGTAATGATGTGGTATATGTTTCTGGGTTGCGTAATGATGCTTCACCTTCAAGCAATAAGCACGGATCATAGGGGGCATCGATCTACCGACCTTAAAACTGAGAGGCTGAGACCTCAGTCACTTCAGCCCCACCCCCTTAAGAGATGGAAGAGGCAAGTCCTCCCAGTAAAAACTATGCAACTTCTTAAAAGGATGGTCGTTCTCAGAGAGATTGTCAAAATGTGTGATCTTGAAATGAATTTATTCTTAAGTATTATTTTAGGCACCCAGGACACCAGTTGTCTCCGGATATCGACTAACTCCCCCGGCGAGGCGGCCCTGGCAGCTCATAGGAATAGACAGACACGAATTTCCAAGATGGTCGCATTCATGGCTGCTCTTTTTGCCGTCGTATGGGGTCCAGTACACCTCGGCACTATAGTCCTACAGTAAGTATAAAAGTTAGTCAGAAACGAAACAAAATATTATGAATTAAAAAGAGTAATATTCATTTTTTAAGCAATTTTTGCATGCAAATTTCAGATTTCACCAACCAAATACATATGGTATTTTGAAAGGTAGCGCGCGACGAAAAACGCATCTTTTTTTCTTTTTTTGGTCAAAGATTTTTGGTCAAAATAGTGTAAATAGTTCGACACATTTTTGTGATGTTTCCTTTTTCGTAAAAAGTCAAAAACTGAATGAATAAAAAACTGGCATAAAACGCGCATAAAAATTACATTCTCTTCAAAAATCGGAACAAAGATACGTAGGTGGTTAAAAAAATTTAGCAAAATATAAACAAAAGCTTCCAATATTCTAAATTTTTTTTTCGAAAATTTTTCAACCAAAAAAATCTTATTCATCAATATTAATGGGCCAGCTGGAATCTTGAGGTCTTTGGCTTCATTCGAGTACTTTTGTTGTTCCGACTTTTCAAACGAAAACAACGGAATATTTGTGCTCGGGTGGTTTTTTTTCTTCGGTCAAATTTCGACTTTTTAAATGGCCATTTCTGACGGAAGTTTCTTTATATCGTTCAAAAATGATTGTTGTCTTGAGCTTAAATTTGAAAAGATAATTAGCCTGTGATCATTTAAAAGGGCTTAAAATTTTTCAATTTGGCCAATTTAGTTTAATAAACGCGCGATATATTTCGCACTATTAACACATAAGCGGAGATTTAACCCGACTTAAATATCGTTTCAAATTGGTTGAAAGAAGCTTTTTTTGCCACGATTGATGTGTTACTAGGAGCAAAAATTTTTACTTTGTGCTTAATATGGCGTATGGGGTGATTTTCTCAAAAAATCTCAAAGTCAAAAAACATTTTTTTTTTTCATTTCATTTTATTACATTGAATTTTTTTTTTGTTTTTACTGCTCCATAGACCTTAATTTTAGTCTGACTAATCTAAAACACGCCTTCAGAACTAGTTTACAAAAAATAGAACTTTATGAGTTTCATATTTTATAGATAAAAACTAGCCGTAAGTTAACCAAAATGACATGGTGTACTTGTTTATGCTTGAAAGTTAACATTCATTAGTAAACATATTAGGATTATTTAACTACCATAATTGATATTATAAGAAAACGTTTCGCGTTGGAATGTGACAGTTCCGTTATTTTTATCTTTAATAAATCCTGAAAAAAAGTCATAGTATTTACTGATTTTGAATTGTAGAAGAAACTGCCGTTTGACTTAAAAATTCGGTTAGAAACAAAAATATATATAACTCCCGGAGACTAAAAGCCTTATGTAGAGGAGTGATATGCCAAGATTTATGCTTGCAGGCTAGGCGGTTTTCGAAAAACTTTATGACCTTGTTTTATATCAGTCATAAAATTTTTTGAGCTAAGCCCAAAACCTAAAATGGCTATAATCAACTAACTGTCTGGTTGGTCAGAATGAATGTCGGAGATCTCTTTCCTGAAGAATTATGTTGGGTCTGTGTACGTTTCATATGAATACATATTTCGGATCTTATTAACTATTTTCCCCGATGGTAAAATTTTCACCTCTATAAAAAAAAATCATTCAACGGTTAAGCGTATGTGAAATTTGTGCCTTATAAATGAATTCGCTCCCCTTCTGCATTCAAGTAAATAGTTAACATGATCCAATGTGACTAACATTTTGGCTTCGACTTTTGAAGGGAGCGAAGGAGTTTTTGTAAGCTAAGTGGACTTTTCTGCACACAAATTTAGATTTTTTACAAGCTTTTTTTGGCAGACACTGAAGAATTTTTCATCTGAACGAAGTTGATGCCTTTAGCTCAAAGTTACAAAAATGTTTCACCGGCGATCATTTTTCATAAATTTTTGGGTTTGATTATTGCCAATTTAAATTGGGCCTGATAATTGCCAAATTCTGCACTTGATTTACCAGATTTTGTTAACGCGCAGCGTCAGCAAAAAAATAATACGGCTCAAAAACCTTCCCTAAATTAAATTTGTGCAATCTAGTTGATCCAATTACCGCGTTAATAGATGATAAATATACCGTTTTGTTCATGACTTAAGTAAAGAAAAAATGTTACAAAGTTAGAATTAAGTCTTTTCTTTTCAGTTTTACCAGTTTCAAACGAAAAGAACATTCTTGTAATTCCGATTTTCGAAGAAATTGACAAATATTTGTGCTAGGGTGGTTTTTTTCTCAAGACGAATTTCCTCTGTCTAACAAGCAATTTTTTTGATTGAGTTTTTTATATCATCCGAAAAATTTTGTCCTGAGCTCAAATTTGAAAATAATTTTCACTTGTGATATTTTTTGTGGCCTTACGAGGGTTTAAGGTGGACCAATTTTAACGCACGATTTTAACGAGAAAATGGTTCCAAGCTAAATTGAGGCATGCTGTTTGTCTGTTTATTGTTCCGAAGAGCGAGGAAAGCGTGAAATATACATGCTTGGGCTGGTGTTTCTTTAAATTCAGACAATTTTTCTAAAAGTTGTTTTTTTTTGAGGGGATTTTTCCGTAGTTCTTTGTAGGTCATGCTGAAATCGGGCATTACTATGTTAACCTATTTGGTTTTATCATTTTTTTACACGACTCAATTTTTGGCATTTAGTTTTAGTATTATCATTAAAAAAATTCAAAACTTATCAAAATTTCAATAATCAGAGACTATTCGAGACCAATTGATGGGCAATCGGAATATTCAAGTTTTTGCTCTGATACGAGCAGTCTTGTTGATCGGGCTTTGAAAGAAAATGGAGTTTTCATGATTGGTGTCGTTTTTTTATTCAGTCATTTTCGGCGATCGAAATATAATTTTTCAACAAAAAAAATTATGCCCCATTGAAGATGTCGACTTCCTTGAACCAATTTCAAAAAATATTTTACCTGAAATCTTTTTTGTTGCAAATTTTTGGGATTTAAAAGTTGACATTTTGTCATACTCTGAACTAATTTATGCGCGCTTGGAAAATTGTTTTTATAATGCTCAAAGCGTAACGCAAATTACTTATGTGTTGCGAATTATCCAGCCCAACAAAATTTTTCGAAAATGAATTTAGGCTAGCTAATTGATCGTAATAACTTTGCACGACTCTTTTTTTCGCACTTGGTCTTTGATATTGTCCAAAATATTTTTTTTTTTCAATATTTTATTTTCCCAAAAACTATTCAATATTGATTAAGGGGCAGCCGAAACAATCAGGGCTTTGTCCTAATTTATAAGCAGTCTTGTTTGGCTTTCTATGAGCAGTTCAATGTTGTATATTAATTGCTGGAACAAATTAAAAACAATTTGAAACCTTCATTTTTACATGAAGAACAACATTTTAGATGATTTAAATCAAAATATGTAATGCAATAAAAGCGACCTTTACTCTGTCTATTGAAAAAAAAAACGTTAATTTGACGCCATTACATTACAATGAAACGGTTGTAAACGACATAGTGACAGCAGTATAGCGCCTTTGTCAGCTTTAATCAGTGCAAATAATTTTTGTCAAATTTATGAAGTGCTGTATCACTCAAAAATAATTGAAAACTTGAAAACGAATTTTAGAAAATAGGAATCAAGTTTTTATACCCCAGTTAGTAATAAACAAGTTATGATACTTTGCTCCACTGTTGATTAATTTAATTTAACACCTCTAGGAGTTTCTTTGAAATTGGTTGGTTCGCTTTGGTTGAAAACTCATTTTTAGAACTAAGTGGATATCCTAGCCGTATAACTTTTTAGGGGAATGATGTTAATTATTAGACAAAAAAATAGGACCACTTTAGCAATATTCCTCTTCCTCTTCTTCTTTTGCAGCTATTTCGGAGAATCTCCCTTCACCCATTGATTATAAATGCGCTTATTTGACTAAAAGCATGGGTGTGATGAATTTTGTCGACCTTTTCAGGCCCTATCGTTTTGAATTTTAATGAGCTGCGGGAACCCGCTCAAAATGACCATCCTTTGCAAAATTTGAGGGTTTTTCAACCAACAATGGCTCGTAAAGTTGAACCAAAGGGTGGTGTTCGAGACTTTTAAACAGTTTGTTTTCAAACTAAGTTCAATATATCCCTGATTAGAAAAAATCTCAGTCAACTAGGAGAAAAACAACGGGTCGACCAAAAAACAATGCTGTGATTAAAAGTTCATCACTCAATCGCAACACATCATTTAATAAAAAAACTTTTATTATCTTCCAAAATCAAAAACTTGAATTCGTTTGGTAATTCTTAAACTAATTTTTCATTTCACGATTTGCAGTTCTTAAAATGGATGTCTGGATAATTGTGTACCAGACATTTATGACCTGACAAAACCGCCCATATTGCAAAAACGGTCCAAGACATACGGTTTCCGGACAGAATTGTCCCAAAGTTTTCCAAAGGTTGTCCGGCTAATTGCCACACTAGATAACAAACGGATAATCTCCAGAAAACTATCGATAAGAATAGTTAATTCGATAAAGTCATTCAACATTAGAAATTTATTTGAGAAGCACATTAGAGACTCAAATCATTTACAAAGACCTACAAATTTGTTGCTTGACTAATGTTTTTGCTAAGTATAGGCATGGGTGATTCTAGTTTTTTAATGATTACTTCAACTTCGTTTTGACAATTTAATCATTCATAAAGAAAAACAGCAAAGCGAGTTCAAGATGCAGTCGCAAATTTCAAACACCGAATTTTTTCGTACATTTGAATTTTGGTATCGATCTGTTTCATCTAAATTTAATGGCCGTTGGTGCACTTTCCAAGACAGGGTCATTTTTCCAATCCAACTGATGTTGAGAAACGGAAAACCAGATCATTTTTCAAGACTACAGCAGCTCTTGCAGATTAACCACCAAGTCAAACCAACAAGTCAAATGATACCTGGTAATTTCGAGGCCAGATCATAATGCTTATGCACGTTTCAAACACCGATTTTTTTCAGACCCCTCGTTTTGGTATTGATGTGTTTTATCTAAACTTATTGGCCGTGACACATTTCAAGACAAATTCACTTTATATATAAGCGTCACTTTAGAGTCATTCCTCCAATCCAGCTAATTTTGAAAAACGGAAAAGCAAGAGAGCTTGCAAGGCTAGTTCAGCTCCGGCAGATGAACCACGTCAAATCTTTCTTTCCGTCCAATGAGGCATAAACAGAGAAACCGTTTTTTGAGAGTACTCAGCAAACCAGAGAGCCGACAACAGAGCGAAGCAAGATTGACGACCCAGAATATAGTAACCGGAACTATAAAATGATTTTGATTAACCAGATTTACTGAAATTGACTAACAGTGGCAATCTTCATCTTCATTTTGACTCTGGACCTGATGATTCGAAGTGAACAATGGTTTTATCAATTTTTTTAGGAACAGATCTTTTTAGCAGCACTGATGATTGATTCGGCCATATCACTTTTTCAAGGGCATCGAGCGTTTTCTTCCTGATATACACTCTGAGTATGAAGTTTTGATCCCTATTGTGCATGCAGTGTTCTCAGACATTAAAATCCAGTTTCGACACTGAGAGATGACAAACTTCCAAGTTTCTCTACGAATCAAAATATTAGAAAAAAGTTTCTCTACGATTCAAAACATGGAAATTTCTTTACGGTTCAAAATAAGTGAAATTGAAAATGCGATTCATTTTCTTTGCTCATTCTTTCCACATATTTTGAAAATTATAACTTTTTTCATGATCCGAATTTTGTAACAAAAGTTACGGAATATTCTTGCTCGGGGTGGTTTTTTTTCTTCAGACAATTTTTTGACTTTTTAGCTTGCCGGTTAAATTTTTTTTTAATTTTTGAAAGGTAGCTTTGAGTTCACGTATGGAAAATTATTTCAACTGTGATCATTCTTCGAAAAGTTTCAGAGTTTAAAGATAGCCATTTTGGCCAATTTGGGACAATTAAGGCGTGATGTATTTCGGGCTATTAACACGTAAGCCGAGACTCAATCCGTTTCAGAAATGGTTTCAAATTGGTTAGGGGAAGGTTAATTGTTTTAGTTGATTTGTAACTAGGAGCGAAATCTATTGCTTTTTAATTTATATAGCGTGTGGGGTATGATTTTTACAAAAAATCTCAAATTTTGTTTTTCTTTTTATTTTTTTACATTCGGTTTCTTATGTTATTACTGCTCCATAGATAAACCTTATAGGCATTTAGAACATTCAGTGCTTCGCCCTGATACTAGAAGTCTTGTTTAAATCTATGCAACAAAATGGTTTTTTTGGCAATTTTTTCAGAAAATGCGTCAAAACATCAAACCTTGATACTTTTTGATAAATTTTGGACCAATACCCTAAGTAATTGACTATATAAGCGCCCCACAGCCACACTACTAGATCTCGCTCCAAATATTACCCCTTCCCTTCCGTTCTGCCAGGAAAGTTTGCGATTATTTCGATCGAATCGTTCTTCTTTACTAATTTATTCAATCAACTCATAATAATTCCGTGGGTTTTAGCTTGGAAAAATTGATAGATACCGAGTATATCATCCCAGACTGGCAGATCTACTATCTACTTGCCTCCCGTGCACTCATTTACTTGGGCAGTTCGCTGAACCCTATTGTGTACGCATTCGCAGGCCAGAACTTCCGCACCCACCTCGCTCAGTCAGCCCAGATGTGGAAGAGGGCACTGACCAGGTGTATGGGTAGACTAACCGTCAACATACCCCGACCCAGACCCAGAGTGAAACAGAACAGAGGAGGAAATAGTTCAGCCGCCACTAGAGTTAGCACACTCACTATCTTATCATTTAATTAGAGGCAAATCCTAGGTGTTTGCTGGGGATTCACACTACTTTTGAGACGCCATCAATCAATCTTTATCTATCTTTTTGCCTTATGATGCTTTGTAAGGAACCTCCGCTCCCCTTTGCAGAACTGATTTAACTAAAGGTTAAGCATATGTATGAACTTTGTACCTAGTAACGAAACTCCGCTTGTTTCAGGGGGCGGATTTAGGGGGTGGGGGGGGTCGGCGTGCGGACGCCTTTTTTCAGGGATTAGACCCCCTGCCGACCCAAAGGGTCCCCCTTTGGTACTTTTTAAGAAATCTCTTTTTGGCCGACCGACCGTTAAATTTTTCTAAAGGCGCCTTGGGCGCCAAGAAATACTATTTTTGAGGATGAGCGCGCGCCAAAAAAAAAAAGATTTTTTTTTGTTAAAGTTTTCCAAAAAGTGCCCAAAAACGGCTTTTTTTACCTTTTTTTTTCGGAAAATCAATTTGGTCGACCTAAAAAAAAGGTCGTCAAAATTTTCGAAAGTTTTTTTGAAAATCCGCCCCAACCCCTCGAGAAATTCCTAGATCCGCCCCTGGCTCTTTTGCAATTAAAGATTTTATTATTAATGTCATCCATCTGCAAAATTGCTGGTATATTAAGAAAAATAAGCCCAAAATTATTAGCCATCGAATGAACGTTTCTAGGCCCTGAAACGCCCACATTTTATCATGTCTCATTTTTAGCGAAAACAAATCAGGCTTTAAAATGTACATGAAGCTTTATCATGGCAAAACAATCAAAATCGAAAAAACAAAACCCTTTTTTGACCCTGTTAGAGATTTTTAAAAAAAATCAACCCGCTTAGGGGGAATTGAATGTGCATTTTTCTGAAACTAATTTTGCGGGCAGAATAGATTGAGCTAAATATACTTGTGTAATCAATTACGACAGAAAGAAGTTGAAATTCAACAATAGGGACTTCTAATTCAATAAATTGTTTAAAAAAACACTGAATAACAAATTCAATACAACAAAAACAAGTTTTAATTAGAACTGTAACGGAGCATAAAAACAAAAGTTGTTTTGTTAGAAGTTAAGTAAATCTATTTTTTTTATTTAAAAAACGAGGAAAAACGAAGGAACGTTCTAGCAGAGGAAGAGAGGAGTTCCACTCATAAATATCGATTACAGTTAACTTTAATTGTCTTTTTCTAATAACGTGAGAAATAATCGATAAAATCCTTTTTCTAATAAACGTGAGAAATAATCGATTTGCAATGAATTCTAGTAAAATACTTAGTACAACTATGAAAACTTTTGCAAATCAATTATAATCTGTTAAATCTCACCTATATACTAAATTTGAGGTGAGAGGGGGGAGCGTGCCAAAAAACGCTATGTTTTGCTCAAACTTACAAAAAATGCCCAAAAACGGCTTTTTAATTTTTTCAAAATCAAAAGTTAGCCAGCGGCACAGAAAATTTTGTCAAAATATGGTCCTTAAGGTGTTTTTGAAGAGTTCGGAAAAAACTTGGTCGGTTAAAAAATCCAACAATATTTTCGAAAAACCTAATTGCTTTTTCAATTAATTTCAAAAAAACATCACGAATTTTTTTTGGTTGTTTATATTTGTAAATTTACAGTAATATGTGTGTTGGTAACAATATGTGTTGCGTATGATGTGTATGATGCTGCGTATTTGTATGATGATAGATGCTGCGTGTATGTTGCTTAAATTGTAATTTCAGTCATCGGCAGCAATCAATCTAGCAGATGGTACAGTCCGACTCAGTCCTTCGCAATGTGGAAACGCACCACAGACATCCAGTATATAAAGAAACCATCATTAGCTCATGTATTTTTCGAAACTGCTCAAACAGTCCGGTTAGACTTCAGAAGGCTCTGTCTTCGTAAACAACCAGCTCACATCCCCTTCTCCAAATATCAGTTTTTTTAAATCAGGGTATTGGTAACAAGACGGCATTGGCAAGTAGCGGCCAAAGACTACTGAGCGATTTTTTTAGGTCGACTAAATTGATTTTCCGAGCTTTTAAAGCATTAAGAAGACCCTCTTTTGGCCAAATTATTTGCGCAGCACGCGAATTTTTAAAAAAACAGGTCAAAAAACGCTTTTGTTTATGCACATTTTAAAAAGATCTTGATTTAAAAAAATGCGTGCGCTCCCCCTCAAAGTTAGCATATATTGGCGCCACAGTCGCCTTTAGAAACATTTTGGGGTCTTCTAAAATGAAGGTCTTAAAATAGCACAAAAGGGGGTACCCTTTGGGTAGTCAGTGAAGCGAATCCCTAAATCCCCCCGCTAAATCCGCCCCTGTGCAGCGCTATTACGATAAAATATGAGTTTTGTCTATTTATCCACTTTTTATTAGCAAACTTTTTGTCCAATTTTTTTCCCGCCTAATATAGCCGCCATCATCTATTGAAGTCTCCAACATTACGATTCCAATAGATTACGAGGGTAAGAATGACTGAATAGCAAAATGAAGGGTACTTGGGGAAGGGGACTGGGTTCTGAAATCTCGTCAGGATGATGTTTCTTCATTCGCTGGGCTCCTCACTTTTATCATATGTTATATGTCGTAACTTATTTTTATGGCTTTTGCCAATTGATTTTTTTCTAGGCTCTCCTGGAACACTGGAAACCACTTTACTTTGCCAAGTTCTCGTTTAGATAGAATTTATAGAAGATAGTAAAAGTCTTTGTAAAATTTATAAGTATTGTTTCAAAAAATATGTTTTCAGCATTACTGTATAAATTTAAAATCAAAATTCTTTTTGGTTCATCAAAGAGTTGAGCTTTTTACCTCAACATTAATTGTTCAATCGCAGCTTTGTAAATTTTTTTTGGCAATGCTTGATTGTTAAATTAGACTTCCTTGCAGATACTTGCTTTATGTTGAAAATGATTATTTTAAAAAATAGTAATTTATTTATCTTTCAACAAGTTTTCACTAAACAAAAGATCGGTGTAGGTCTTCCGTGATAGCCTGAAAAAACAGTGTAGTTTTGGCACATGTATACTATAGTTTAAGCAAGACTTCTCGTATCAGGGCAAAGCCTCGAATGTTCCGACTACGTTTCAAGGTCTATGGAGCAGTAATAACCTGAAAAAAATGAATAAAAAGAAAAAAAAACTGAAATTTTTTTGTGAAAATCATCGCCCACACGCCTATCAAAGTCCAATTGATATATTTTGCTCCTAGGAACAAATGAATTCTGACAAACTAACCAAATTAGATCAATTTCTAATACGGATTAAATCTTCGCTTACTCGTTAACAGCGCGAAATAAATCGCGCATTAATTGTACCAAATTGGCCAAAGTGGCAATCTTAAAACCCCACAATTTCACGAAATTTTATCACACGTGAAACAACTTTTCAAAAAAAATCTCAGGACAACAGTGTCTTTTGAATGACATTAAGAAAATCCGTCAAAAATATCTAGTTAAAAAGTTGAAATTTATCTGAAGAAAAAAAACCACCCGAGCACAATTATTCCGTTACTTTCATTACGAAAGTCGGAACAACAAGACTGTTCGTATCAGGGCACAGCCCTGAATGCTCCAACTGTCCATAAGCTTGCTCTAAAAATTTTTACTTGTTGCAATATTGACAAACTATGAATTAAATGCTAAATATTATCAACAATGTATGGAAATAATATGACCAATTATACTGCCTCAAGTAAATTTGGAACATTTTGTGGTGCGGGATAATTCTCAACGCGTAAAAATTAAACGTTAAGTTTTCAGCATTGAAGTATCACAGCGCTCTTTTTGGTCCGACTTTCGTAAAGAAAGTAGCGGAAAATTTGTGCTCGAGGTGTTTTTTTCAGACAAATTTTGACTTTTTTGCTAGCCATTTTTGACAGATTTTTTTAATATCATTCAAAAGTTATTGTTACCCTGAGACTAAAATTACAAAAAAAAAAACATTTAGCTTGTAATCATTTTCCTAATGTTATGGGGGTTTAAATTTGCCAATTTGTCCAATTTGGCAAATTTGGGACAATTAATGCGCGATATATTTTGCACTATTAACGCGTAAGCGGAGATTGAATCCGTCTTAGAAATTCATTCCATATTGGTTGAAAGAAAATTATTTGCCATAACTGATTGTTACGAGGATCAGAATAAATCACTTTGTACTTTATATGGTGTGTAGGGGATGATTTAAAAAAAATCTCAAATTAAAAAAAATCTTTTTTGTATCTTTAATTTTTCTATGTTATTACTGCTCAAAAGACCTTATGAGACAGTTGGAATTGGAACATTCAATGTTTTGCCCTGATATGAGCAGTTTTGCTGTCATGTTTGTAGATTACTGAGTGTTAGACAGCAATTTTTTAGACAGGATACTCTAGTGGTGAAAACGACCCTTCTGGGACTACGAATATCCATAGATCATCCCCCGAGGGAAGTATTTTTGAGAACTGGTCTGAATAAAAACAAGACTGCTCGTATCAGAGAAAAGCTTTGAATTTTCCCAACTGCCAACTACTTGATCTCGTTTAGTTTTTTGAAAAAATTACAAGTTACGAACTTTAGGCTGGTAATATCTACTTTAGATGATAAATAATTTTAAATTCGTGTATGGAATTAAAAAGACCAATTAGCTTGATTCATATCAATTTGGAACAATTATGAATGCGGATAGTTTGCTACGCATAAATAGCTCGCGTGGTTATACAACTTGTTCGATTATCGAAGCCATTTGCATTTTAGTCTAGTGCATGCACACTCGCTTGGCAAAATTACAACCCCAGGCATATATATTACTCACTTTCGAGCGTATGTATTCCTTACAATCTTCGAAAGCAGAACAAAAACAATAAAATCTACAGGGGCTTGATAAACAGATTGAAAACTGTTTAACAGAATATTCTCAGGCAGTGTACAAAGTTGAACAAGCACACTGACAGAAACATTTCCTAAATTACTTCATTTGAATTCAATTAAGTCTAACCATTTTTTTTCTATGTAACATGCCTGATTTTTGGTATTCTTGGTGAACGCTCGACTAGCATAAAGTTAGACTAGCATAAAAGTCTGAAAACATTAGAATGTATCGACTAGCATAATTTTATTGCTTTATTTCTCAGATAAAAAAAAAGAAAAAGAAATTTCGCTCAAATTGAAACATGAGTTTTCGAAAAAAATGGAAAAAACAACTGTTAATATGTTAAGCAATCAACAAAACTGAAACTCCGTAGCACATAAATGGTGATCAGTTGCACCCTCGTCTTGTCATGGCTGAAGCCAAACACTGATCACAGCGCAAAATGTTGAATATGTGAAAAAATGAGATTTGCATATAAATTTTTTGTGTTATGATCATTTCATTTTTGACAGTTTTCGGTTTTGGTGTAGATTTTGAACGAATGTAGGATTAGTTGCGTGCGAATGTAGGATTTTCTCGAGTGGGGGTCCGTGGTTTCAATTTTTTTTGAAAACTCTGTCGGCTTTTCTGACAGCGCTATAAAAACCCTATGTTGACAAAAAAATTTTCGCCGCATTTAAACTTTTGCAAAAAGAATTGGAAAGTTCCGTTTTTGGACACTTTTTGAAAATGCTGAAGAAAAAAAAAACGTTTTTTTTTGGCGCGCGCTCCCCTTCAAAATTAGTATTTAGCGCCTTTAGGGATTCGATGCTTTTAAACTTTGATATGTTTCGTTCGTGCTCGATCGAAACAATTGTGCTCGACCGTGCTTAACCTAAGCAAGATACGTTTCGACCGTGCTTGACCGATTTCGGGTATAATACGACTTTCAAACAACATGACTCATTCAAATTTGAACGTTAAAATTTATGTGTTTTGGTAACATCTAATGATGAATTTTTATCAGAATCAAATGATTAGAATTACTTGCTGTTTAAATGCTTTGTAAGGAATAACTATTTCTTACCTTTGCTATCCAGCTTTGGGACTACTGGTTTGCAAATCGAGTCCAAACTTTTCTTTTTTTTCACAGCGCTCTTAATATTCCGACTTTTCGTAAAGAAAGTAACAGAATATTTGTGCTCGGGGTGTTTTTTTTTCATACAAACTTCGACTTTATAACTAACAATTTTTGACTGATTTTTTTAAAATAATTCAAAAGTTATTGTTGTTCTGAGACTAAATTTTAAAGAAATTTTTTACTTGTGATCATTTTTCTTAATGTTATGGAGGTTTAAATTTGCTAATTTTTTGGGATACCGCAGTCCCATGTGGATCAGAAAGTAGCCACAATGTAGTACAATTAAACCCTGATGAAGATGAATACTACATACTTACATCATACCCTACATTAAAGCAACCACTCAAAAAAATTTCACCCGAAAGTATCAGAGCTATCGCTCGTAACCCAAACATTGATTTACACTCAATTGGAATATATTCTAAATCTGATATCCAACATCACATTAGAACAAAACAGTTTCAGGAATTATTAACACAAATGGACACAATACAACGCCAATCAATCGACCAGAATTTAAGAAAACTTGCCGAAACCGCAGGATTTTCAGACATTTATACACAAGACTATAGCGGATATTTTAAAGATATCAAAGACTACATATATTTGAACGGTGAAAAATACAGACCACAGGATATTTTACCTTTAAATATTTTCAGTTTTGTCACCTTAAAAAATGAAATTCTAGCTTTTCTAGGATGGCCCTATTACATCTTAGAAAAAATAACTATCTTATACGCCATGTTTAATTTTATAGGATTTCTTTTCTCACTGTTAAAAGGAATCTATAATACATGCGCTATACACACACAAGTAAACCGCCAAGCAAGTGTAGCACGTATACTATTTGCAGGATTTTTTGGAATTTTTTCATCATCAATTACTAAAATACTTCTAGATGCACAAATAAAAGAATATAATACAAAAATATCCACAAGACTAAACACATATAACGAAGAACATAATAATGTAGATACAACACCTAAAGCACCCC